AGGAGGGCGGGCGGAGCCCCTTCCCAGGCAAGTGCGGGCGGGGGGGAGGCTCGGCCGGGAGGGTCCCGGGCAGGAGGCTGCCTCGCGCCGCGCGGAGTCCGGGCGGGCTAGTTGGCTCGCCGGGGCTGGCGGTCCGGCCCCTCCCCGGCGGCCCTGGTGGGAGGGGGCTGGAGGGCGGTACAGCGAGGGCAGTTGGAGGGGTTGGCCCCGTCCCGCGGGGCGGAGAGCCGGGCGGCCGGGGCTGGGAGATGATCGGAGTGCCGGCCTGGAGGGGTGGCTGACAGGCCGATTTTGTACGTGTGGTGGTTGTAGCGCTTCAGCCGCACGGTGGAAAGTGCGGTGTGTCTTTTTTGCAGGGGGTGGGGTGGGGTGGGGTTTCCTTAAGGTAAAGAGACTGCCAATAGTTACATGGGAAAAGGGATGGTAAAAAAAGACAATAGGAGCGGGTTGGGGAGAGGGGCTTATAAGCCGAATAACCCGTGTCATTGCCACAGTTACATCACTTTTGCGAAGTATCTCCTGTCCCATATGGTATAAAAGGCAAAAATAGATTGGCAGTGAGACGACAGAGAATTTGGTTGGGCATGGCTTGACCAGGGGGGAGAGAGGGAGGCCTTGGCCAATCATTTTCCCCTTTATAGAAAACACTTTTCTCCTGCTGCTGGAGCTTCAAGAGCTGTGAGCAGAAATCTAATGAGACTCAACTGCCTGATTATGTAATGCTGTATTACTCTGCTTAAGATATTTGCTTTTCTCCAGCTCTCTATCACCACCACTACCATGATTAATGTAATTAACCGGGTTAACTGATTTTAAAAGGGTTGTGTTAAAGATAACATTTGAAATATTTCAGTCTTTTTGTGCCATATGGTACAGTATCTACCCTCCAGGAATGGGTAATATCTTTCTTACAGTGCAAGGAAGGTTAAACAAATGGATAAATAATTTTAAATACTCCATATAGCTTCCCTAATCAGTTCTTCTGTATCTTATATATGTCATTTGTAAATACCTTCTGTTTGCCCTTGATCTTTCCTTATCCCCACCCAGTGCTGATCTAGCAAAATGTTTAAAGGTTGCCTTATCAGCTGGTGGTTCTCTTATCATGTAAAGAGGGCACAAGGAAAAGAAAATGTCTTTAGAAGATCTGAAATCAACTATTTATGGCAAATTTCAGAAATTTTGAAGTACTACTGTTTCAGTTTTAAACTACTGTTGCAATGCAGTGCAATGAAAAAACAAAAACAAAATATGGAAAGAAATACAACTGTTAATTTTTAATAGTTGCTTAAATGTGGAACTTTAAATAATTTAAAATCTAGCAGTATAATTTTCAAGCATTCACATTTAACTTTTCGTTTTAATTTGTAATTAAAGTTGTACAACAGTTATTTCACTGCTTCATAACTGAAGGAAAAAGATTCCTCTAAGGATTGCATATTCTGGTTGAATACTGTTTCTATTGCGGAATGTAATTTTTTTTTTCCTAAGGGGTCTTGATCTGGTAATTTTAAAAGTTGTAGAATTAAAGTGGCTTCTTTGCTTATTCTCGTTAATGAACTTACATGTCATGCCTGTACCTAATAATAAAAATTATTCTGGAAGGTGACATATGTAGGTTTTTAACCTGCCAAAAGATAGTATTTATGACATTTCTGACTCAGCTGAAGCAGTATTATGAGCACTATATTAGATAGCTTTTAACAGAAGGGACTATTTTAATCTAAGTAGAGTGAGGAGAATACTAAGTATTACAGTTGGATTCTGTAAACCATAATAAATGGGTTTGGTACAGTATTATTGGCAGGTTTTTTATGGCTCCAGTTAGATACTAAAGATACAATTATACAAAATGCAGATTTTGAAGTGATCATTGTTATATCTTAGAAATGTTATTGGTGCTTTTTATAGTGTTTTTTTAATTTAAAATATTTAACCTAGTTAGCCTATATAGTATATGTGATTCTAGTACTGTATTGAAGATACTGTCAGTAAGAAATATAACCGGTTTTAGGCAAAGTGTGAATTTAATAGGCCTTGTTCATTTGCTCTTGTACTTTTCTTACTTGGATTTTTCTTTTTTACCCCCCGTGAAGGAACAACACTACTCAAGGTGAAGAATAATAATCAACTAAAATCAGCACTTTGAAAACAATTTTTGCTTTCCTGTGGTATTTTGAACTTTTTTTCCTGATCGTTGTGGTTTGAAACAGAGACTGTAATTTTGTGCTGTAGCAGCTATGCAGCTTGAAATACAAGTAGCACTCAATTTTATTATTTCATATTTGTACAATAAGCTTCCCAGACGACGTGTGAACATTTTTGGAGAAGAACTTGAAAGACTACTTAAGAAGAAGTATGAAGGGCACTGGTATCCAGAAAAGCCATACAAAGGATCAGGGTTTAGATGTATACATGTAGGCGAAAAAGTGGACCCAGTTATTGAACAAGCATCCAAAGAGAGTGGTTTGGACATTGATGATGTTCGTGGCAATCTGCCTCAGGATCTTAGTGTTTGGATTGACCCATTTGAGGTTTCATACCAAATTGGTGAAAAGGGACCAGTGAAAGTGCTTTATGTGGATGATTCCAGTGAAAATGGATGTGAACTAGATAAAGAAATCAAGAATAGCTTTAACCCAGAGGCCCAGGTGTTCATGCCAATTAGTGACCCCGCATCTTCTGTGTCAAGCTCTCCTTCGCCTCCCATTGGTCATTCTGCCACTGTGAGCCCAACCTTCATGCCCCGTTCCACTCAGCCTTTAACTTTCACCACTGCCACATTTGCTGCCACCAAGTTTGGCTCAACCAAAATGAAGAACAGCAGCCGTACCAACAAGGTTGCCCGCACTTCTCCCACTAATCTTGGTTTGAATGTCAATGATCTGCTGAAACAGAAAGCTCTTTCATCCTCCATGCACTCTCTCTATGGTCTTGGCCTCAATAGCCAGCAGGTTTCACAACAGCAACAACCATCACAACAGCAGCAGAAAACATCTGCCCTTTCTCCTAACGCAAAGGAGTTCATTTTCCCTAATGTACAGGGCCAAGATAGTACAAACAACCTGTTCCCTGGAGACAATCCCCTTAACCTTAGTCCTCTCCAGTACAGTAATGCCTTTGATATGTTTGCAGCCTATGGAGGTCTAAATGAAAAGTCTTTTGTGGATGGCTTGAATTTCAGTTTAAATAGCATGCAGTACTCTAACCAGCAATTCCAGCCTGTAATGGCTAACTAAACAAAAATACAAATCATATTGTACAAGTTGAAATGCACGTACCCAAGGGTGTTAACTTTTTCACCTCTTGAGTTTTTTCTAAAAAGCTTGTAGTATGAATACATTCAAGCTTGGTTAGATAAGGACAACATGCATCTTTTTTTCATTTGCCAACCAAGCACAAAGTTATTTTTTACTGACTGTACATTAAATATATTCAAGATATGGCCTCTTACAGTATTTAAGATATAGCAAGGACAGCTGATTTTTTATACATAAAAAATTGGCACTAATAAATGGGTTTATTGGTCTTTTCTAATTGTATAATTTAATTTAGTACAAAGTTTGTAAAATATCAGAGTATATATTGTTTCTACAACATGGTATTGCATTTTTATCTTTTTACTACAGTGATCTGTGACAACTGCAGCAGCTTCATGTTGTATTTTTTTTACTGAAATTATAAAATCCATCTTAAAAAAACATCAATTCTAAAAGTGTACAAAATATTCCTTAAGTGGTGGAATTCAAACTGTATGGAAAACTTTTCCAAGAAAGAAACACAAATTGTATTTTCTGTTAAAAAGTTTAAAGATTTTTTGCTATATATTATGGAAGAAAATGTAATCGTAAATATTAATTTTGTACCTACATTGTGCAATACTTGAAAAAGGTATAAAAGTATTTTGAGTCAATGTCTTATGTTAAAGAGAGGGACTGAAATAGTTTATATTAAGTTTGTATTAAAATTCTTTAAAATTCAATTATTGTGGTCTTGGTTTATTGGTTAAATAATATAGTAGTACACTGATAATGTAGAACATTATTTGTATATAGGTCAGCTAAAGAAGTTGGTTACACTGATGCCTCATGATAATGTGTTGTTAAAAATTATGCCAAAGCAAGCTTTGTATTTAAGCACTCGCCCAATAGTTACAGGTGACAAGAAATTGCATTCATGTTGGTGAGTCAGACTTAACAGAGGAGGAATGGAGTCCCTACATTCCTCCTTTGACCCAGTATAGAAGCCAAGTGAGCTGCCAGAGGCTGCTGCATTATATTAGTGGCACGCCTACTTCTAGAAAAATACCTTCTGTACAATTTTTTTATAATGCAGGATGAAGGATGTTGCTCTTCTAGGATTGTTTTTCGTTATCTGGCTGTCCTGGTACACATTTTCCTGTATATCAATTTGCACTCATTTCTACAGAGTGTTCTTGATTAGATTAATGCTGAATTAATGAAGTATATAATTCAATAAATGAGTATTTCAATCCTATGTTTTGGATTTAAAGCTCAGAAACAACCTGAAGAAAATTAATTTTCTTACAACATTCACCTTACAAATAAGCTTCATTATTTTCTAATATTGTAGGAGTTAGGTGCTATAAAATATAAATTCAGTAGGTTTCCAATAAAGTTTACTTTTAAAAAGAGATTTTTTCTTTTCTCATCCCAAATAAACATATGCCTGAAACTGAAGAACTTATTTGAGGCACTTATGTAGATCCTTCCATATGAAAATACCATTCAGGAGCAGAGGCACCTTAACATATCAAATTAGCTGAAGTTTCCGCAGTACAGAAGCATGAAGCAAGACTGGCTTTAGGCATTTTCTAACCTGTGAACTAATTTATCTGTTTGTGTTGTACACTGTTGACTTTACACATCAAATATCAGTTTTGTAACACTTCTGTGATATGTGTAAAAATTCTGAATACTCCATAGATCTCAATGTGATGAATGATGTTCAGTCATGCTGACTTCAAGTTGGGATGGGATGGGCGTTTACACGTTCTTGGAATAGAGTCAGGCATGTTGCTTAGCACCATAGTAAACTGTTTTATAAAGGCTGAAATCAGGCTGTGAAGAACTAGGCCAGCAAAGGGAGCAGGCAGAAACAGAGCCCTGACTGTGTACTGAAGTAAAATATAAGAACTTCAGGTTTTTTGTTGTTGCTCTGATTTTCATCTTGTAGTCAACTTTGTATCAAGTTTTTCTTGACTCCCAGCAAGCATTGTTTAAATAGATGAAGCTGTCTTACATGAAGTATGACCAGTGTTTTGTTTGTGCTTGTCACAAGATCTTTCTTGGTCCTACTAGAAATCTTTAAATTAAAAGTGTCTTGGGCTGGGTTTAGGAATCTCTACCTGAAAAGCATGTATGCCTTCACTAAGCATTGCAACTAATTAACAAGAGTAGGAAGATGTAAATGATTGATCTTCCTGTTACTGTTTTGAGTACTTTCATATTCCAAAAAATCAAATTAAACTTTATGGAATGAGATGAGAAATGGAGAATAAGGTTATTAACAGTGTAGTTATTGTTTAGAAGTTAATGTCCCTGGAATTAAGGGCAAACTCCTTACAGTTTGAATTATAAATAGCAAGATTACAATCCTCCAGCAAACTCCATAAGAGTGGTGTTTTTTGGATAATGTGTTCATATAATCTAGGAACAAGTTACACACATGCAAATTAGCTGAGCTAACTCAAAGTATAATGAGATTTTGTTGTATTTTCCTTTTAAAAAAAAAATTTACAGCCTAATCTGTCTTGGAGTATTCCCCCCAACTGCTGATAGAATCTGTTCCAGTATATTCTCTTAACTGCTACTGTTCCAAAGAAAAACTGCAGTGAAGAACAGTCCATCCTGATACGTACTTTTAATTTTTCCTATATTAAAAGAAGAAATCTAACAGGCTGAATATTTGAGATTTGTTACATTATGAATTTATTCTAGATCAGTGCAGTTAAAGATGAATAGCCGGCAGGTCACCTATAATGATCCTGAAAACTGCAATGTGCTTGTGGTGGTCTTACTGTATTGCTTTGAAAGAAAACCACGTTTGAGAAAAAGTTGGCTAGGTAATCAAAAGGAGTGCCAAACAAGCAATTTTCCCTACTTGTATTTTTGTTTAATACAATGCCTCTTTGTGAACATTATGCTGTTTTGGAGTTTTTTAAAATATGACCCATGAATACTGAGTACAGTAGTCTGACAACATCTTTGTCAATATGGGCAAAGTTTACACTAAAATCGACTCGCAAAGGTGCTGCTGAGTTACCAAGTGTTGTTTAATAAATGTATGTTTTAATAATTAGAACATTACTTCCTCAAGGAATACAGTGCAAAGTTTTCCCTGCAATGAAGTGCAACTTAGTACATAGATAACTAGTGACATTACACACGCAATCTAGAGAGAACATAATGATTCTTCATTTCAGCTGGATTTAGATTCTAATGTTTGTAATAGCATATTAGAGAACATTTCTTAGAAGAGTTCCACAGAATCAAAAAACGTACAGTAAAGGGATTAATCTGACTGGCTCAACAAAACAAAATGTCCTAACTGCAATTTTGTATGTAATGTCTTGATCTTGCTGCCCATTGAATTCAGTGATGCTTAGTTTTGCAGCTTATAAAATTTAGCCTTAAAGGCCCTGGTGCTAATACAAGGTTATTCCTCCTTGGTGTATATGACCACCATATGTGCTAATTCTGGCCACAATCATTAACAAGGGACATTGTGCTTGTCCCTTGCTGTACCACAGCTGGGTCATAAAAACTGAAGTGAACAAAATCATGGATGACTAACACATTGCTTTAAAATATCACGTGCAATATAGGTGTTGATGTAATGATTAAGTACAGCATGTAATTCAAACGACATGAATACCTCTGCTTGGGATTCCTGAAATAAGTATGGCACATTTCTGGCAGTGGATAAAGTCATCTGAGTCTGCTCTACCTGGTACAATTAAAATGCATATTAATTATAATTATAAAATAATGTATGATCACAAAATCTGACCTGATAGAGTTTCTAATGCAATTAAGGTCAGAAAAATACAGGCATTAAAATCTTTGGAAAATTATGATTCTTTCTTCCTCAAAATAGATCACATGAGCAAAGCTTGTTTTCTACTGCTCTTCCCCCCAACCTCTTTGGCCATGTACACATACTAAGAACACTTGTAAAAATGTGATTCATATTTTTTAAAGGCTACCTATATATATGTTCCATCAGTCAACAACACTAAATATCAGGGAGTGAGTGCCATTACATTCAAGTGACTCTGGAACTGTGCTGTATTTGTTCATCACTACTTTGACTCAAGTATAATTATGAAAATGTGTAAAGGAAGAATAAGTCACATGCTTGAAAGAGTATGATCATATAGTAACAGAATACTTAGATTGTGACACAGTCCAAGTTAGCAGATCACATTTTTATAATTACATTTTTCAAAGTTCTAGGCAAGCTATTTAACATAGTTTAAACTCAAAAGGGGGAAAAGGATGTAGGACTAACCACATGTCCTTACTATGACTCAGCCTGTGGCTTGAGAGTGCTTAAAAAAGAAATACACCACACCAATTCTAGTAGTTTCTAACGCATGGAAGTGGCAGCTTCATTCAGTGTATAGATTATCCAAATGTAGGTTAGGTGCATATCTTCTGACTGACTGATGCTTGATAAAGTCTTGAGGGGGGAGACAAAACCCTGACTGCATATTATATTTCAAACAGTGTTACTGTGTTGACAGAAATTGTTTTATGTAAAAGCCTAAAAACAAGCCGTGCAGAAGTTCACCCCCACATAGCCAACTGATAAAGAAATGCAGATGGACCACTGTGTCCTTTCTGTAGTCAGCAAAATAATGTAGGCGTGGACCTGATACGAAAAGACTTTCATGCAATCTTGCTTTTTTTTTTTTTTTTTTTTCTTACAGCCTGTGCCATGTGTTGTAATTATTTGCAGCCAGCCACATTGCCGTAAATCAAAATCTTAAATGGATTACATGAGTGTGATGGTCAGTGGTATCACTGTCAGGTCATCTACATGTTTGTATTAGTGTTTTTTTCTTTTTTCTTTAGTTACCCTCCCCCTACCATCTTCATTTTAAATGCCTCATTGTTCTTTTTCCTGCTGTGTCAAATTCTGTTCCTCTCCCACTACACACACAAGACGTGCTACTATTTCCCATTCGTTGAACAGCCAAGCTGCTAACAATCTACTTCCCAGATTTAATTTCCTTGTGACTTTGAGTCTCCCAGTGAGATGAAGCTGGACCAAGAGGAAAGTTCTGATTCTGGTTGTAATGGCCTTTGGAAGCCGTGTTTGGAGGCCATGCCCAGCAAAGGGCTAATTTGAAATTCTCAGCTGGGATCACTACACAACTCTGTGAATCAGGGAATTTCACTATTCTTGCTAGCAGTTTTATCTTGGTGTGCTTTTTGACCAACAACAAAAAAAAAAAACTGATGCTGGAACTGCCCAGTAGCTCTGTGGATGCCATTCACACTGCACTTTGCATGCACTGGGTGATCAGGCTGGTATCTGAACTACAAACTGCTTTAATCGGGTTTGAATAAAAAGTGTCTAGCTTGTGTATCTAGTTCTGAAACTGATAAAGGAAACTGTCTGGTTCAGCATGCTCTCTTTTTTGGTCTTGATCAGCAAGTTGATTTAAATTGAATGAACAATGTTGGCTGCCTTCCTGTCATGAGTAGCATTAAAACAAAAAACTAAAGACTAAACCTGTTGCTAAACTGTAAAACCCTGCTGAAGTGTTTTGTTCCAGAAAGGCGCAGAAGCTTGTAATAGTCACTGAGACTGCTCCTATTGCTTTTTGTCCAGCTCACTTTATTTTAGCAGAAGGAGAAAGCTCGCTGTGCAGAAGAGAAAAACATCCAGGAGTCGAAAGGATAAACTCCTCTGGGTATTCTTAAC